GATACTTACATGGCGGCTACCTTGGTGCAAGGCTAAAATGATTATCAGATACAGGAGGCCCCTTTCTGTCTTAGGAGGAGGGTACACAGGTGTAAAGGGCTTCTTGCTGATGGATGTTCTTGATGGAATGTAGCTGGCATCACAGAACAGCAAGTATTCTGTAGTTGTTCCTAAGGGTTCTAATGAGTTGTGAAATTATAAAGAGATGGAGAAAAATTTCTTCTTGCATTGGATAGAGAATATGTTTCTACAGGAGTACTTAAGCTGTCTCTGTGGCTGAGGTGTGACTAGAAGAGAAATCACTTAAGAATATATGTTGCTTTATTCTTAAAATCTTCTACAGTCATAACTATACAAAAGAAATTGTATAAGCATATATAGGTATATGTGTAAATATGTATTTATACATACAGATACATATATACACACACATGCACACGTATTTTCTTTTTCAGCTCAGCAAAAGCATCATTTGCAGACTGTAACATAAATCTTGCTCACTCGGCACTCCCCCTCACCCTGCACTTCCGTTTTCTTGCACACCAGCCTATCTGCATTTTTGTTTCTCCTTTGCTCGATCTATTTTGAGGAAAACTCAACAGAACAATGGGACCATGAGTCTGGCCTATCTTTCTGTCTAGGAAAATGAAAATAACATTTTAAAACCCAGCTACAAAAGTCTGTTCAATAAGTCTTGCTGGCTTCCCTGAGAGTGGGAATTTTAATATTTCTGAATATTCGATGCCTGGAAGCTAGCACAAAATGGCTATCTAAGTCTCCCAGAAATTTACTTCTTGAGAATGTGAAAGCAGGAACATGACTCTGGGGCAGCCTCATTTCTTCTTTTGAGACAGATGGCTTTGGTGGGTCCTCTCAGTCATGCCTCCTTATATTCAATAACCACTCAGTGCCCTTGAGGTAGCACAAGACTTAGCAGAAATAATCTAAAAGCAAATACTCTGTAATGGAATATTAAGCATTCGGTTTAATAATATAAAAGCTGTCCCAAGATGTCCTATAAGGAACATTTCTACAGTTTTTTCCCCCTTTAATGAAACAGTTAGCATTTCTTTTGGCAAGTCTAGAATAGGATTTGAATATAGCGATGGGGGTCTGGGATGTAGGGACAAAGAGATGGAAGGAATAGGTTCACTTGTGGGGGTTACTTTGAGGGTGTCAGTTCTAAATGATAATTTAGTGTTTGAGATTTATTTCAAGGGTAGCAAAAAGCAGACCTGAGATTGAGTCATTAGTTAATTAGTTTACCAATGTCCTTAGGCTTTTTAAAGTACTACTCAGTCAATGTTTTAAAGTTTTATCTTACTTTTAATTGACACATAATAGTTGTATATATCTAGGGGGCACAGCATGATGATTTGATTCATGTATACACCATTCAGCGATTAAATGATTGTGGTCAGCATATCAGTCATCTCAAACCATTTATCATATCTTTGTGGTAGGAACATGAAAAAATCCTTTCTTTTAGCTTTTTTGGAGATAGACTTTACATTATTGTTAGCAATAGTCACCCTACTATTCAATAAGATACCAACTTAGTCCTTTTATTTAATTGTAAAGCATCCGAATTTATTTCTTCTATTTGCCTTCAACTTTGTACCCATTGACCAAGCTCTCTCCCTTCCTTTTTTTCCTCACCCTCACCAAATGGAAAGTTTCTACTGCAGCTCAGTAGCAAGCTAAGGGGCAAGAGTTTTACAGTCTTGATATAGGCTTAAGCCCCATCTTCTTCACTAAGGCTCTAGGAGTAGCAAATTCTGGTCAGCTCCAGATGCCTCAAACAAATCAAAACACTTGTAACGCTGGAAATCTATGTTGTGATAGATCCCTAAAGCATTCTAGCTCTGAAGAAGGATGCTGCTCCTCCCGCAGCTTCTCTGTGTAGATGTGATGCTGATTCTTTTATGAGGAGGAAAGATCTATACATGCCAGGTCAAGCCACTTCAGGGCCTCCTAGCTCCTTGACTTCTATAAATCCAAGCAGAAAATCTCAAATGGGACATCTTGATTCAGACTGGATCACATGCCCCCTTCTGTCGCAATCACTATGAGAGAGAAGGAAGTATTCTATTTGGTCTTGTTTGAGTTATATGCTCGCTTCAGCGACTGATGATAGTATTGGGGTCCTTACCACCTCCAGTCATACTCCTCTGGTTTCAAATGCCAGCTGGTGCATCTCTAGGTAAGAGGGCAACAGTTTTACTCTCCTGCAGACATGGCAGTCTGCAAGTGCTACTGAGAGTTATGTCTCCCAGAAGGAACCCTCAACAGAAATTTAGGAGGTTTTCTATGTAAATTTAAAGGGTCTCCTTCATACCCTGGTGATATAATTTTGAGGTAGGCATTCAGCACCATGTACAAGAATTCCAGTGTGGAATTAAACTCCAGTTTGTTATAGTTGTATCTAACCTGGCATCACACTCTTTATCTGGCTCTTTTTCTTCCCTGTCTCTTCTGCTTTTCTGCTGCAAGTATTTCTTGAAATCATGTCCCACATAAGCTTGTGTGTAAGGCCTTATCACAATGACTTCTGGGGAAACCCACACTGAGATAGTTACTGTGACTGACAGCTCATCACATGACACAGATGGAAATGAAAGGAGTTAGTGATTCTGAATTTTACTGATATTTTATTTTTATGTTTTTATTCATTCTTTGAGAATTTCATACAATATACTTTGATCATATTCAGACCCCATTTTCTCCCACCTCAGATCCACCCCACTTCCTCTACCCACCCCCATCATGTCCTCTATATATTAATTTTTAAATCTAATAAAGTCTCACTATTTGTGTTTCCCAAATAGTCTTGGTTGTAAGTCTGTCCTCTGGAGCATGGTCAACCTAACAAGTATCACACATGTCATGACAATTGACTCTCCCTCTCCCAGCAGTTATCAGTTGAAATAGTTCATCAGCTAAGGCTGGGACTATGTACCCACCTCCCCATATCATTCTGGGATTTATAAATCTAAGTATATAATAAATATATAAAATATATATCTAAATTATATATCACAAGAAAAGAAACACACAGAGCATCAAACAACAAAATATATGCTAAACCACTTCCCATTTGACTGATGTTTGGGCAAAATGTGTGTTTGACTTGACATTTCCAGGGAGAAGCAGACATAACCTCTGGCAGCCCGGATCTGCATAGGAAAATGCAAGAGCATCTCAGTGTCCAGGAGACTGTGAGAGCTATATCTTATCAATACCTTTCCTACCATCACTCCATTAGTCCAGGAAACCTGCTGCCCCAGCTGAATTCCAGCCAAAAGCAATCCCAGAAGGATGCTCCTGCCAGCATGTATGCCAGCATGAGGCTGGGTTTGTTGGCTTATGTTTGGCAACCCTCCCTCTAGACATTCAGATTCATGTGATGGTCCAGACATGTGTAATGTTAAAAATATATTCCCTGTGTTTGTGCACCAGCTATGGCATCCTGTTTCTTTCCATTTGGGTTTCTGAAGACAAAAATATTCATATATGTCATGAATTGCATCACTGAGAGGCAGAGCCTGAGGAAAGGATTCAGGTGCACTGGACTCAGTGCTTTTCAGGACACATGCATGCACGCACGCGCGCGTGCACACACACACATACACACACACCTCTAAATACAATAAGAAGCACATAAACCAGACTAAGTAGTCATATAGGAATGAGGGTCTCAGGAAAAGCATTGGCAGGAGTGATCAAACTACAGCCCTTGAACCAGACCTGATATCATCTGGTTTTTGCAATAATATTTTACTGAAATTGTCATTTCCATTTGTTTTTGTGATATCTAGGGCTACTTTTGTCCTACAGTGGCAGAGTTGAGTAGTTGCAACAGAGGCTATGTGGACTGCAGAGCCTAAATTATTTACTATTTGATCCTTTACAGGAAATGTTTGCTAACTCTAGTCCTAAACTTGCCTCAATCCATAGTGAGGTCGATGACCTCAGGTCCTCATGTTTGCACAGCAAGCACTCTTACCCACTGTTCTAGTTTCTTCATTATTGCTGTAATGAAGCACTCTGACCAAAAGCAACTTGGGGAGAAAATATTTTACCTTATCCTACACTTCTGAGTGACATTCCACCTTTGAGGGAAGTCAGGTAGGAACTCAGGAAAGGAACCTTGAGAGAGGAGCTGAAGCACAGACCACAGAGGAATGTTGCTTGCTGACTTGCTACTTTGGCCTGTGCTCAGCCTGCTTTTTGATATAACCTAGTACTACCTGCCTAAGGGTAGCACTGCCACAGTAGGCTGGGCCTTCCAACATCAATTAGAAATTAGAAAATTACCAATTAGCAACTAGAAAATGCCTCATAGGTATGTCCATAGGCCAATCTGATGGAGGAAAGGCCTCAACTGAGTTGTCCCTCTTCCCAGGTGGGTCAAGTTGACAACTGAAACTACCTAATATTGAGCCATCTCCCCAGTCCCCAAATACTGTTTTTTAAGATTTATTTTATTTTTAATTATGTGTCTCTGTGTGTATCTTTGTGGGGGTATAAGAACGTGAGTGAAGTGTCCATGGGGACCAGAGGCATTGAATCCCCTAGGCTGGAGTTAGAGGCAATTGTGAACCACCAGATGTGGGTGCTGGGAAGGAACCAAACTCAGGTCCTCTTCAAGACCAGTACACACTCTTAACTGCTGAGTCATCACTCCAGTCCCCAAATATTATTTTGATAACAAAAGTAACATCTACAGTGATGGTATCTTGACATGTTAATGATGTGTGTGTGGGGGGTTAATTCTGAGCATATATTTTGCCCTTTGAGGTAGTGTCCTTATCAGTCTTTAGTTGCCCTCTGAAGAAGATTATGACATTTATTGTTCTGATAGATCCTCACTCCCTTTGATGCTCTGCCATTCATGCCTAACAAGGTGCGGGAAGAGATTCAGAGTGGAGGGAGCTGATGATGGTGGGGTGAGTAGGAGGTTTTGCTGTTAGTGACCATCACTGTCTCTTCATTTTCAGATACCACCCAGATGAACAATGCAGTGCCCACCTCGCCGTTGCTCCAACAGATGGGACACCCACATTCATACCCCAACTTGGGTCAGATCTCCAACCCCTATGAACAGCAACCACCTGGAAAAGAGCTCAACAAGTATGCCTCCTTAAAGGCAGTTGGTAAGGGCATCCTGCATGGGTCTAGTTCTCTATTCTTTCTAGCTCTTATTTCTTTTAAAAATCCTTTTCCTCTCTGCTTTTTTCTGTCTATATTTCTTTTCTCTGTCATCTATCTATCTATCTATCTCTCTCTCTATCTATCTATCTATCAATCTATCAATCATGTATTTATCATCTATCTATATTTATCTATGATCTAGCTGTCTATGATCAGTGTATCTATTGTCTATGATCTATCTATCTTATCTATGATCTATCTATCTATCTATCTATGATCTATCTATGATCTATCTTATCTATCTATCTATCTATCTATCATCTATCAATGATCTATCTATCATCTATGATCTATCTATTATCTATCTATCTTGTATTTATCATCTATCATCTATGATCTATCTATGATCCATCTATCTATCTATCATCTATGCTAGCTGTCTCTGATCAGTCTATCTATCGTCTATGATCTATCTATCTCTATCTATCTATCATCTATCTATCTATCTATCTATCTATCTATCATCTATCTATCTATCCTCTGTCTGTCTATCATCTATCTACCTATCTATCTATCATCTGTCTGTCTATCATCTGTCTGTCTATCATCTATCATGTATTTATCATCTATCTTCATCTATGATCTAGCTGTCTCTGATCAGTCTATCTATCGTCTATGATCTATCTATCTCTATCTATCTATCTATCATCTATCTATCTATCTATCTATCTATCTATCTATCTATCTATCTATCATTTATCTATCTATCATCTTCCAATATATGGTTACCTTGAATCAGAGTTCCCCCAGTTGCTTCCTTTAACCTATTTCAAGTCCTATCTTGCTTTGTGGGGCATGATGGTCATCTGGGGCACCTTTGCAATAAAAACTCTTTCCTGGGGATGAAGACCCAGATGCTGATGTGATCCCACTGATAGTCAACCCCTTCAGCATCTCTCTTTTGCCCTAGGATATCCTCAAGGAACCCAGCTATAGAATCCAGTCTCTTAGTCTTATCAATGCCCTGCCTTTTATCAAGGTAACGTCCATTATCTACACAGTTCCTTCCATCTCTGAGAAGTTGATAAATAATGTACAGTCTTTGTCCAAGTAGCCTCTCTTGTTTGGGCTATAAAATTTTCTGGAAACAACAGCCTAGATCTACTATTAATTTTGTTATCATATGCGCTATACTGAAATTAGACCCCTTATGCATGCTGTCTTGCTGATCCACAGAGGAAGATATAATTATTTGTCCAATGATTAGATTAAGACGCTGAGACTCAAAGAGGCTGATTCAACAAATCAAACGCTAGCGGATGACAAAACTGAGAACAGAAACTACTTTTGTCAGTCTAGTGGCAATGTCCTGCCACTTCACCACCTCGCCTTAATCTACCTCTACCTAATAATGACCCTGACAATGATCCAAACTCTGAACAAGCTGTCACAGAAGAGTTCAACTGAATGGAAGCCACAGTCACAGAAAAGTTATTGATTTCTGATTTGTGACTTGCTATGACAAACTTGGGTTTCCCTAAGCCAACAGTTCTCACTGATAGATGCAAAGCATTAGCATCACTTGAGAACTAGTAAACCATACCCATGACCCCCAGTCCCACATCAGAGATTTTAATTGAGCTGGTTGAGAATGGAGTTCAGGAGTGAATATTTGTATATATATTATTATTATTGAATTTTGTGCATTTCATATAATAGATCTTAATCAAATTTAGACTCCCCTCCTCCACCCACACCCCCCATAGTGCTCCCACCAGATTTAATGCATTCTGTCATATATGTTAAGGCCTATCTGGTCAAGCATTTATACCCAGATGTCCCTCAGTGCAAGTTCATCCACTGGAGTGGATGAACTTTTTTTAAGTCACTCACTTAAAGAAGATCAACTCTCCCTTACTCTGTAGTAATTGGTTGCCAATAGTTCCTTGGCTAAGTTTGGGGCCTGTTGTCCATTTCCCCAGTTCTATGCTGGATTTTTGTCTGACTGAGTCAGCATGGGTCTTGTGCATGCTGTCACCATTGTTACAAGTTCATATGAGGAAATTCCCAGAGGCCTGAAAGCCTCTGTTTCTTTACGTTCATGTACCAACCCTGGCTCTTACAATCTTTCTGCCCCATCTTCCACAGTAGTCCCTGAGTCATGGGTGAATGAGGTTTAATATAGGAGTCATTTCTACCCAGGGACACACACTCTACAGTCTCTTGTTCTCTAAAACTTGGCCAGTTGTGACCTTCTGTGCACATCACATTCTGTTGTATGAGGGAGCATCACTGGTGAGAGTTGAGGGATGTTATTAGCGTTCTCTCTATCCCGTTTCACTATGTTCTAGGAATTTTAGGTGCAGAGGTTCCACTGTAGATGTGTCACTTTAAAGCTAGGCATCTCTCAGACATATATTCTCTGTGTCTGACCAGTGGTGGAACTGTGTAATAGCCCCCATATATTGAAAAAGGAAGCTTCTTTGATGAGTGATATACAGTATATTTGTGTGTAAATATAAAGATCCATATTTAGCATACAGTAAGAAATTTCATTTGTCTATAGATATGAGAGAAATAGGATTTTCCCTAGAATCTATGACCTCTCCAGGCATGTGTATTTAGCTATATTTACAGTGCTGCTGGCAAGGTCCCTCCCATTGAGAGGGCTTTAAGTCCAAATAGACAACTGTTTATTATTTTTTTAAAGCATTCTAGATGTTTCTCATGTGAAGCCAGAGCCAAGGGCCACTGATTTAGACTATGCCATTAGCTCAAAATCCAGGAGAATCTGGCCGCATCTCAACAGCTTGCTCAGAACTTCCTCTTCCAAGTTCTCAGTCTGCTGTCTACATTCCTGATCATTCAAGACATGGAGAATTTCCTCTTTTCCATCTCACTGTGTCCTGTGAAGTCTATATTTTCCTGTCCTTTCTTACAGAAGATGTTTTCAAGCTAGCCTCTCCACTTTTCCCACTGTTTCTCTGAGCTTATTCTTTGGAGAGCTGCACAAAGCCAGATAGATATGGGCTCAAATACTAGCTCTACCACACGCCTCTGTATGATTTTGTGCACCACCCAACCATTCATTAGTCATCAGTTTTCCAGTCTATAAAGTGGGCATGCAGATAGATTCCTTTCAAGTGAAACAAGATAACCCACAGTGTGACCTGGTAAAGATTGTTTATTCAGCATTTATAACTCACCTTTCCTTTGCAGAATCCCACTGTTTTGTATTTAGTAGCTCCGTTCATTGTTGAATTAGTTCTTGATTCTATCTCATGGTATGCTGAGCTTGAATTCCTTTGAAAGTTCTTCTTAATTATCTTTACATATTCTCCTTCCAAACATGGCATCTTTCCCTTCCCAGAAATGGCCACTAGGAGTCCTAGAGTAACAAAACAACCTTCTTTGACTGGAATTCCATTTTATTGGTAGAGTTCTTTCTGTTCTTTTGACTACTTATAAGACTTGTTTATTTATTCTTGCATACTCTTTGCTCCTGGGAAATTTTGAGCAGGCAAAGGATACCGCAGATATACGCTCTTTTATGATCAATTGTTCACTTTTTCTTCCAGCCCCTAATTAGAGATGGGATGGGAGATACTTGTTGATTGAGTTCAGTATGAAAAGTCTTAATTATATCATAAACTATCACTGTAACCCAAAGCTTGGTTACTACCATGTGGCCATGATATTGTTGTTGTACCCATGATTGATGATCAGATTCATAAAACAAGTGTATGATGACTTCACATAAGGCCAGACATGGATTAGGTAATTAGTGCTTATATTTGAAATCTAAGAATTCATATTTCCTGAGTGCCTGGGATTTCAAGATGGAATAATTGAAGGAGAGATTGTGCCAAATGCATGTATTGGTATTCAAGGTCACATGTTATATAGACTGACACAAGTTTTTTTCTCAGTCTAGAGCTCTATAAAGACTTCCTCCTACTTATCCATGTCTTGTCCTTTCTTTCTATGCCAAAACAAGCCCTTCTTATGCTCTACAACCATCAGTTTCCTCAGTTCATCCTTCTGTGCTTACATAGCATACACATCCTGAGCGTGTTCAAATGTACTTCTATATTACCGGGAATGGAGGCGGTCTATTGCCTGAGAGACTGAGTTAGAACATCTTCACTGCTCACATTACTGCAGTAACCTTCAAACACTATTTGGGGGCCCTCTCCCTTTCTGAGTACTGCATTTCAGTGATAAATAACATCTGGTGTTATATGTGATTCTTCTTTAGGCATGAAGAAAATCATCCCAGATGTCTTACGTTTTTCTTTTAGAACTGGTCACATTATCCCAATACAACTCATTTCTTCAACTTAGGTTCAGCATCTCCTCCCTCTGACACTCAGTAGCTCTTTAGGTAAATAATGGATGAATGTTCTAACACAGCTACCTGATACTCTCCAAGATTTATGCAGGGTTGCTATAGACAAGAAATGCCTGCAAAGCATTTGAAATTAAATTGGCAGTATGAAAAATATGTTTGATACATTTTGTGTAACCTTATCTTCCACAAATCAGGAACTATTGAAATGTTTGTTGAGTGAAGGGAGGATCTTGTCTTTGGCAAGAATCAAAGAATGAGATTTTAAGAAGCCATCTTTGTATCTTCCAGAAAATTGAAGGATTTTACTTTGGGATCCTGCTAAATCTAGTATATGGTTAATGGTCTTTTCTTCTCTCTTCTTCCTTTGAATGTTGTAGGAGTTCTTGGGGCTTTAGCTGAGTTGTGGGTGGTCTGAGTTTCCTGCAAGTAGAGAGTTAGTTTGCAGCTGACTGAGGAACTGCCTGACCCAGTGGATACCCAGGACTCCAGCATTTGCCCACATCAGTGAACTGGAAATGAAAATCCCATAATAAATGTTCTTTCAAGGGTTCTTTATTAAGGCATAATGTGATCATAGTGTGAATGGTGAAATGCATTTCATTAGTGGAATCATTACCACCCAGGAGAAAAGTTGTTTAGAAGTGGTTTGATACTGAAAGCTCTGCAACCTCTCACAATCAGACTCATTTTGTTAAAACTCCCAATCCAGTGAATAAGCAGAGTGCTAGACAGCCTCTAGGGTTAACTTCCAACTTCAACAAATATCCCTGGAAAATAAATTTAATCTTGGAGGCCTTATATGCAGAACATCAGGTATCTATAAAGGATCCATCCCAGCCCAGTTTCTGACCTTGCACAACTGTGTCACATTGAACCAAGCACTGAAATTCTTAGACTTCTAGATCATATGCCAAGCAAGGAAGCCAAATTATATGGTTTCCAAACTCCATTCTAGTTTTTGAAATTATAGAATTCAGTGGTTCCACTCCTTCTAGTTATTATAATACCCGTGAGCTATGAAACTCATCCCATTCATTCACAGCCAAAGTTAGTAGGGGGAAAGGAGTAAAAAGGGTATAAAACTTTCTTTGTCCCTGACTTAGATTCCCCCAAGACTGCCTTCCTTTCTTCATTCTGGGAAAGATAAACATGCACGATAGCTCACATTAAGGATCTGGTATAAACAAACAAGAAAGAAAATAAATAAAAATATCTTTTTCTTGAATCTCAACCATCAGCAGAGCCAGCCCAAACCCTTCAGTTTCCCCATCTACAGCCCATACAAGGAAGGGGATGCGTGTGCATGCACTACAGTCCAACAGAAAAGAGTCCCTTTTACTCAACTGGCTCTCTTCACTGTGACTGCAAGTTGGCTTTAAACAGCTTGGGAAATTTTCTGCCCTAGTCCAGTTGCTGCCTCTAAGTTTTTGAGTACTGAGCTCCTAGGCTACCTGAAGCTTCTGACTATGGACCTTTAAGATGGCACAGTATAACCTTGGCCATCCAATGTGAAAGAGAACAAATGTACCAGAGTAACTGATGAAATGCTTTATGCCTTCATTTATAATTCACAATTATAATTTTGTTTTAAGAAAATATTTTCCCTTTTGCTATTTGACAGATGATTTGACTATTTTGCCAGATTATGTTACATTTTCCAGTAAAAAATTAAAACTTCAATTGCACTTCAGTGTGGCAGAAGTTCTCCCCCACCCTTGCTGTGGGAAGCACATGGAAACCCATGGAGATGCATGAGGCCCTCAGTCATAAATCTCTTCCAGGATAGCTCTTAAAAAACAGGGCATGACTGAGGCTAATATCACTGAACTTGGTAACAACACACCATAACATTGGGCCTACTATGCTGAGTGCTGTAGATGGGATTGACTCAGTATGGTTAAGCAGTTAAATTCACACTCAAGACTGCCTGACTCCAAAATCCTGTTCTTTTTACAAAATGACCCTATTTTCTACAGAGCAACTTGTAACATTTAAAGTATATCACCATACCATTCCCCTCCCCCTTTTTTTTCTGGACAAGGCTTACCAAGGTAACAATTGGTTTTGTTTTGAAGGTGAAAGTTTTCCCACGATGCTGAGGGTAACTGAGGTATAATGTATTTGAGATATACTATATCTGAGGTAAATTTCATATGCAGCAAGACATATGGTTCTCAGTTTTACAATAGTATGGTTATTGAAAACTTCTTATAATTGAGTAACCACATCCCAATAAAGATAAGAAATGAGCACATCAAATAGTCCCTCATATCCTTTTCCTTTCTATAGCTTCGGTCCATCCCCTTTTAATGAACATTTTTAATCACAAAATAGACACCTGATGTTCCCTAGTGCCAAGCTCATTGTGAGGACTTAAGTACCTGTTTGGTAACCTGAGCATTATCTTATTAAGTGTACTTATGATCAATCAGTTTTCAGAAGAAAACTTGTTAGTGTCTTGTCGGACCTATACCCTGCTTGAGGAATTTGAAAAAAAGTGGCAATTGAGTGGCTCCTGCCTTTGAAGCAAACTGATAGGTTTGACTTAGGGGGAGAATGCCAGCCTTGGAGTCAGTGACTCAGAGATTGGTCAGCCTGGTGTCCATCAACATAGAAACATCTGGGGCCATATCACTATTTCCATTTGACCCTAGCTTAGAGGAAGAAGACATGCCAAATCATCCTAGGCAGGACCCACTTAATTTTAACCTACCCTTCTCCTGACACTCCAATTTCTCTTCTGTTTGAAAGATGAGGGTGTAGAGTTCAGATCTGCAAGTGGAACATGGCAATTTGAATATCTTTAGCATGCCTTGGAGGCTGACCAGAAATGTTTAAATGAGGCCAGATCTGTGCTCTATAATCATTCTGGTCACAGGCTGTTCCCCAAGTCTCTTCTCAGCTAGCAGCCTGATAGATCTCTGGAAATCAGGCAGAAAGTGTTGGGGACTTGGTCTGCCTAGGTAGATTCCTAAGAAAGGAAAGGAGAGCCAGAAGCACTCACTGACTGGACAGGACTCCTGCCAATAGGACGAGGCTTTCATAGGCAGAGGATTGACATAAAACCCAATCTTACAGAGGGCTGTCAAGGAAGGGATGGAAGAACAGTCAGGGTCCTTCTCATAGTGGTTTATTTTATAATGGAATTCACATGGGATCCTGTCAGTAATAGGAGGATCACTCCCTTAGGGGCTATTGGGTATATCTGAAAAGGAATTCAATTTTGAGAAGCTAATTTATAACGAAAATTCCAGGCACACACCTGCTTCTGTAAAGCAATGTATTACTCACTATGGGATTCTCAGGTAACGATCTTGATCCTTTTAGCATTTAAGGGAATTTCCCTACCTAAGGAAGAATGACTCTGGTGAAAATTCAATTAATTAATTCATTCAACAATATTTTTTATACTTGGACATGGTGGTAAGCCAGGTTGTACTCAATGCAGCATTTCAGCTGCAGAAAGGAGAATCTGTTCCAATCTTGAACTTGAAGTTTAAATTTACAATAACGTGCTCTTTTTCAGAAGGTGATTATAACAAAACCAGAGCAAACTTCATCTCTTGCCGTCACACATTAGTCAAACTGACTTTCCATAATGCAAATTTTCCATTTTTTTGTGCTGAGTTGGATTACAGCCAACTTACTGTTTAATAATTCTTCCATCATTTACGTAACTGCAAACATCTAGACATGTTCAGGGCACTTCTTTTGATGTTCTCGAAGGTCTTGTAGGAATGGTGCATACCTAGGTCAAGTTCATATGGGTTCCCCTCTCTGTTCCCTGGGTCCTCCAAGGCCTGATTCCTTGGAGACTGCAGCAGCTTAGGCAGCGAGCAGCTCCTGGTGTGAGTGTACCACAAGCATGGGCTGCCTGGCAACCACATCAGCATCTCTCAATTGTTATTTTTTTAGGAAATTCTGATGGTGACTGGGCAGTGGCGACACTTAAGTCACCAAAAGGTACCGTATGGCTTTTTATGGCTTTTTTGTCCAGGTGTTGTCAAACTTGACATTAAATAATGAAGGGACAGAGAGTCCCGGTGTCTGTATGTAACCCAGTGCACATGTGTGTCTGCTTTGAGTGGTACCAACAAGTCCGTCTAAGGTCCAGTGTGTAGGTGTTTTGTATAGTGTGTATGTGTACACACATGTGCATGAACCTGGGTGTGATGGTGTCTATGCTCAGAGAGCACTTGTTGAACAATGTGTGATTCTTTTGCTCATTTCTCGATATTTGTTGTTTGAGGGAAATTCTATCAGAAGCATACCAGGTAAGACATCCAGGATGTTTTTCCAAGAGAGCTACAAAAGTGAAATGACAAAAATCAATCAATAAATAAAACAAAAACGAAAACAGAACTCCACAGGGTAGCTATTTAATTCTGGGGTTGGGGTGAGGAAGAACTCAGTAAAATTGTTGACTAAGGGTTTGGAGAATCAGACTTTTAAGGAGCAGAACTCTCTTTTCAACTTTTCCAGTAGAATGAGCAGCAGGATTAAGGAACTAGTTGACTTGAACCTGTGAGTTAACTAGCTGGGTGACTAGGCCAGATTGTAATAATTAATATATTAACTCCCTACTATGTGCCAGAGTGTGAGGAAGACTCACACTTACCTAAAGGGGTCTGGTCACTGAAGGGTAGGACTGTAATTTGAACCCGTGTCCCCCTGATGCTTATGGATAAGTTGATCTCCACTGGGGGTGGGAGGAACATGAAAAGCTTTTTTCAGAACTAGCCCAGATCCCTGGTTTTCATTGTTCCTCATTCCTCATGCTGAATTCCAGAATAGGAGCTGAGTAGCTGACCAAAAGAGCAGAGATAGAACTCTTTAATGCCTGGATGGTGCAAGATTAGGAGACAGAAAAGCAAACTCTATACAAGATACCATCGTGGTCATTTTTTCCTTCTTAAAAAATCATTCCGGCTACCTAATGGGAACAGGACTATGGAAATTTGGACTGGGGATATCCATTGGAATGCTCTGTAATGCAGATGTCATCCTACACTGATGTAGGTAGAGGATGGAGAGAAAAAGAAATGGGATAGAGGGATAACTGAAGCACTGGAATGTACAAGTACATGGTATGATGGGAAGTTCGAGATTCTCCAGTTAGAGTCACGGGAGCACATACCAGCATCACCTGGAAGGTGTTAAAAAACAGATTCCTGGGTTCCAACCAGGAGCTTCCAATTTACTAGGATACAGCTCCAGGAGTTTAATTGCTGGAAAAAGTTCTTTGGTGTTGCTGCTGCTGCTGCTGCTGCTGCTGCTGCTGCTGCTGCTGCTGATGATGATCTATGCACTATACTGTGAACATCACATTTGTAGAGTCACCTTGCTGGGAGACTAAGAGCCTTGCATAAAGACTCTTGGCATCTTTATGAGGTTTAAGGAAGAAATAAGGAGAAAGTCTGGCCAAGGTTCCAGAGGACTACAGACAACTTGGGTTGGCAAGTGGGTGCAGTGTTATAGTCCCAAACTAGAAAAAAAGAAGTTGGTGTTTAATGAGCATCCCCAGCCTACCAGGTTGTTGCCCTGAGAGAACGGAGTTTTGGGTATTGTATTAGATAATAATTGTTCACGTATCAAAGTCCATTTTTAGAAATGCACAGTTTGGAACATGGTAGACCTACTAATTTGAGAGGCATAAACTGCTCTCCCTGTCTCTCCCCTGCGAAAAACAAAGCCATTAGGAAACGGATTCTAAGTCCCTGTCCTTATATCAGCCTGTTGTGGTCTGATGCTTTTAAACACTATTTCAGGACAAGTCAAAAGCAAAGCCTTGAAACTTTCTACCCAAACCAGGCTAATTCCACCTGTCCTGCTAAACACCCCTTTGTTTTGCCTTGTTTGGGGAGGGGAAAAGGAATCCCAGAGAGGACCAGGACCAAGTTTCTTTGGAGCCACTGGTCTTTCTTGAGTACTGTCCATTCGGCTTCCATACCCCAAGTCTAGATGAAATATGTTGGCAACTTTGGGGTTTTTATGGTTCTTAAAAGGAAGAGATAAGCTGAGTGTGTTGCACTTGGATTCAGACACATCCAAGTCCCAATCCTGGTCTTTTAATTGGCTAGTCTTCCTACCTTCAGCTAGTCCTTCAACCCCTGAGTCCTTCTCCCACTCTAATCCTAACCAGGCCTGGTCCTGCTCAGCTTCTGGGATCAGATGCAGTCAGTTCAGGCAGTGTTCAGGTGGCATCCCTGGAGGCTCTTAGCCCTTATTTTCTGACCTGCAAAATGGAGATATTCATACCACTTACTTCCTAGCTGGCTGTGAAAATGAAATAATGCCTTAAACATGTGTCATAGTCCATAGCATATGGAAAGAACAAATGCTTGCAGGTGATGACTGGTGTTATTTTGCTGTTACTCTCAAGTGAGAAACATCCTGAGGCTCTGAAGAGTCCCACAGCAATAAGAACTGTTAAGCACAGTTAACTCATCATTTCCCAAACACCCCTGACATCAGATCTCTCTTATTTTAAGGCAGATCTGTGAACATCTTAACAACCAGTGGTATGGGTGTTATTAGGAACCCACATTGAGAACATAAATCACGGGTGGAGAAGTAGATAGGGGTGAGAGTCACCCAGGGAATTTGGATAAAAAGGGGCATCTGTAATGGCAACGTCTCTGAAGATGTGTGGGAAGATGTTTCTTCCCACTACCTATGTGGCATCGCACTACCTTATGTACCGATTCACTTTGGAAGAGAATCACGTCTGCCAGGGACAGGAAATGGAACACAGGAAATGACAGACATCACTCTCCTTTGCGCTGTTGTTCATTTTTCAACCTATTACACTCTATGTATGTCGCCTCCTGGTGGTCACTGCTGTTGATCCACTCACACCAAACCACTGGAATTCCTGACATTTGTTGAAAACTCACAAAAGGAGGGAAAACACCACTTCCAGCCTAGGGAGCAATCACAATGAAGTTGAAACAAGTCTTTGGATGAATCTGAACCTTTCAAATCTACACAGAAGCACTGAGTTTGAAAACTCATACTGGGAAACTGCCAGTATGCTCTTGTTTTGACTGGAATCAGCCTTTGTGTGATTGCCCAAGCCACGCACATGCTCTGAATGCCTATTTCTAGCATTGATAATAAAATAGAGGCAATCAGCGTATCTGTTCTCCCTGGGGTTTGGGGGAGTATTTGTATGAGGCATTGCAAGTAAAAGTCTTAGCACTGGAATTGGTTGGTGTACAGCAGGTGTAAAATATGCATAAGAGAGCTGGGCATGGTGGCACATGCCCTTAATCCCAGCAATTGGGATCTTTGTAAGATCAAGGCCAGTCTGGTCTACATAGCAAGTTCCAGGCTAGCTGGGGCTACATGGATACTGTTACGCAAAGAATATGTGTGTGTGTGTGTGTGTGTGTGTGTGTGTGTGTGTGTGTATAAAAGGCCACTACTCACAATATCTATATTCACTCCTTCTTCAGAGAAAATACTTAGTAATGGTGAAAGGGTCTTTCAGAAAGAAATATACTTCATTAAATTTCTCTGGTTTCACAGATAAGGAAAGTGAGAACCACCCCTCATGTCTGAGATAAACTGAGGTTGCCTAAAGCCACACGAGAAAATTATATCTCAGTAGTACCAAAACTGAGACTTCAAAGGGGACATAAGGGCTTAACCTGGAACCACTGGAGAGATTAGTTGCAAGTATTAATTCTGGGTTCACCCACTTCTATGGATCTAGACTTATAAAATTTTGTTTTAATATGCCTTCTGGAATATTCTTATATATACTAAAATTTATACCCAACCCTACATGCATACAGTTTGCCCTAGAGCAACAAACTGCACATGCCCTCATTCTCACCATGAATTTTCCTTGTAACTGGATAGCTATTACTATACAGTCTTAGAAATGCAACTATTACCAAAGTCAAGTTTAGAGCATTTTCATTACCACTGAAGAAACAAATCCCAGTTGGGTTGTACCAACCCAATCCCCCATCCCCAGACATTTTTAATGTTTGCCAGAAGAATCTTTTTCTTCATGTTGGTTTAAGCCAGATCACAGCTGAAAGGACACTGGGTGGGGGACAGTCTTAAGATTTTCTGGTCTGCCACTTATTAGCAATGGCAGAGTGACTTGACGGTCCAAATGTTCGGCATCTATGGGTCATAATTCCTTCTTCTATCACATGGAAAGAGTACTATTACCTTAGCATCTTTCTTTAAGAAAGTTTAAAATGTGACTATGGAGGTGACGGGGCTAGACCAAAGTAGGTGCTCCACAATTTCAAGTTCATTTATTTCTAAGAGAATAAATGTGCCAGGTGTACTGCTGCATACCTGTGATCCGAGCACTTGGGAGGCAGAGGGAGGAAGATCACAAATTACAGGCTAGCCTGGGCTACATACTGAGAGCATCTCTTAAGCAACATTAAAAGGAAAGGAAGAAGGAAGGCGAAAACAAGGAGTCACAGGACAATGGGTAATGCATAGTTTGGTTACAGTTTCACTGGAGTGCCCACAGCCTATAGTCCATCCTGCAGAATCCCTCATCTGAAGGCAACCTTAAGACATTACTTCATGACACTAGATTTTCAGTTTCCTGACTGGGGATTTTGGTTTGATAGCAAGCAGTAGGGTAGAGCAGGGGAGGATGGTGGTTGAAGAGAGGTGACTTTTTAAAAAAAATAAAAATCAAATCCCGCCATCTCCCATGTGCAGCCCTTTTGAAAAGCATAAGCCAGCACTGGAGCTTTGATGACCTTCCTTGAGAAGCTGTCGGCCATGAAATTAACCCACAGAGAGGGTGCTCTCGCTTTTTATAAAGTGCCACCATACAGAGACTGCAATAAACATTTTACCAGTTTGAAAGTATGTCATTCTGCTAAGCCAGCTAGACCCACACACACTGCAGAAACACCTTGCAGGATGCCCAGATGACCAGTAGACACTCAACATAGATTTTGTTAATAAACTATTAAATG